ACCGTGTATCTTGTGGCTCTTCCCCGAAGTCAGAATGACCGTGCAAGGGAAACATTTTTATCAGTTCAGTACGTGGAGGCAATCTTGACAAGAGAACTAAAGACACTTATTAAAGAAGGCTTCCAGAACTGCTACAGAAAATAGCAAGAATGAGGGGATAAGTGTGCTAGAAGTGAAGGAGGCTGTTTCAGGGGAGTTTGTGGCAGTGTGTCTTTTGTTGTAACAGTTTTTTGTTAAATGCCTCACTATCCCTGAAATTTTTCATTCACAGTCTTGAGAAAGTGCAGCCTGGCCTGGGAGTATACCCCAGGCCACAGGCAGAGGGAGAGCAGTGATACAGGAGCGTGAAACTCCCAGCCTGGCCTGGATGAGTTCGTGTTAAACCGAAGAAAGCATTTTAGGAACAAACGGAGGCTGAGGGTAGAACTTTATTGGAAAGGAAAGCTTCTGTTGAAGAGGGACAGAAGGGGGACCTGAGCGGCTTGCTCAGAAAGCTGTCTCTTCCAGGAACTTTTATAGTGTAAAACCATGCGGGGTTGAGGTAGAGACAAAGAGATCTCACTTAGGCAGGTGCAGGGTGAGACTAAACTATGATCAGCGAATGGGATTACAAGCACCATTGCTCAGGTAAAATTGATTAGGCCCAGGACCAAGTGGGGTAGCGAGTCCCGTAGCAAGGGGGCATGAATGTGAAATAGGACCTTATCGGGAGGCCTTCAGACCGTAATTCTTCCTGAGTAATGGCGGCATCGGCATCCAGGGCCCTTCAGAAGGGTGGGCTCCATGGGGTAGCGCTGGGCTCACCTGCGCCACTAGCTCCTGGGGTGCAAAGGTCAGGAGAAGGACCCTGGCCACGGGAAGGAGAGCGCACTTCCTGCCCTGGGCCCTGGAGAGGGGTGTTCCGAAGGAGGCCCCGCAAGTTCTCAGGCGCGAGGGAGGCAGCACAGCTGCCTGCACAGTGGGGCTGTTGGGCAGTGTGTCACACCTAGAACCCACTGTGTTCAGGCCAGGATTGCCGCCTGATCTTCCGGAGCGGGGAGTTGCCAGAAGTGGAAGTGTCCCTCCCAAGCCACCTCGGCACTCTGTTGAAAAAAGCCTCGCAAAAAGACCTGGTTTGGAAAGCTCTGGACCACTGGGCCGTGGCTCAGTGGCTGGGTGTGCTTCGCAGGCAGGGGCCCCGCTCGCATCTCTGCCCCTGAAAGTGAAGTCAAATCCAACCTCTGGGGAGAGTTGGAAGAGCACTTAAAAGCCTCACAGTGTGTTTGTGGGTGCCACCAGAGCCTGTGCCTGGCATAGCTGTCCTGGCCATTTGCAGGCCGGGGGGACCGCAGTGATGGTCCAGGAGCGCTGCACTGTGCAGCTTGTTTGGAACGCTGCCGGCCGCCCTCCCAGAGGAGAGCACAGCGCTCACGGTCTCCTTGAAGGGGCTCTCACATTGAGAGCTGGCGGTCGCAAGTTGTCAGGAGGCAGCCACCAGTGACAGTCTTGTGGGGAGGGTGTGTGGGGTGACTTCGTTGTCCCATCTGAGAACTGAGGAGTTGGGAGGGCGGGTGGAGGCCTGCTGCGGTACCTGCATGTGCCAAGTGCTCGGTGACTTGCTTGTAAGGTGAACTTGTTTTTGTTACACTTGCTGATTAACCTTTGTGTATTCTTTTCAGAGAGCTATTACTTACCTTTTTCCAAGCGGTTTGTTTGAGAAACGAGCCAGGCCAATAATGAAGGTAGTTATCTTAATTTCTTTTTTAAAATTTCACTTAGTTTATGTGTTACAGTAATTATCTGATACATCTTAAATTTATTTTGCAGCATCCTGAACAGATTTTTCCCAAACAAAGAGGTAAGTCTGCTGAGAAGTGAAGCTATTTCTCTCACTGCGTGTGGTGTAAGAGCCATTTTCACTTGTGGGGTACTTGCTCCCCGAGGCCGAGGTCCCTGGAGTAGGTCAGAAATGTTTTGTGACTGTGGTGACTGGTTAGGTGACCTTGAATTTGGTCTGGTCACAGTTCTGCTGAATCCTAATTTAACACCAAGAATGTGTGTTCTAATCTGCCTTTTGTAAGAATTTGGTGTCTGTTGTCAGCTCAGTAAACTTTTATTTGAAATCTCTTAATTTTTCATTATCTCAGAAGCATGTTTTCACCTAATATGGATTTTTAAAATCTTTTGCTCGGTGATGTAATTCTGTCTTGCCTTATGTTATTACTGATCCGTTAGCATATTTCTTGTTATGTCCCATTTTCTCTGGCTTCTTTTAGTTTTCTCTTTTAAATGTGTAAAAGAAAAAACCCAAAACATCTTAAAACACGCAAGCACACATGTTCGCGACAGGGCCATAATTCATGTGTCTTGCTACCAGGTGGCTCTGATTTATTAGTAAGAAGACCAATAAAAATGATTAAATGTGTTTGCATCACCGGTGTCCAAGCCACCTGTAGGACGGTGTGTGTGTGCCACCAGTGGGCCAGGCCGCAGGGACGTGGCAAGGGGCCCTGAAAGTACACACCGTATAGACTGTATATGAGAAGACTCATATTGTGTGGACTGGTGGTAGCTGTCAGATAATTCTAAAAGTATTAATATAAAAATCACTTCTTTAAAAGATACTCAGAATGTAAACTTGGATTATCCTGGAGGGTTTGCATGTGTGTGCGCCCACACACCCAGACCCTTTGAACCTGCCACCGATACATCACCAGTGGCCTTCAGAGAACTAGAGAAACTTCCCTGAGGCGTCTGAGGACAATGTATGTCTGTATTTTCTGGGATTTCTCCCTTATCATACTAAAGTTGAACACAACCTTATCAGCTTGCCACCGAGTTCTAAAACTTTCCACTTAGTTTTCATGGAGGCAGCAGGGTCTTTCTTACTTGCACTTCCATTTCACCTGTGTGTGTACAAACCGTAACATTAATTATAGAAACCAGTACTGCCCTAATGCACGGCACGGGGGCAAACAGCGAGTCTTCCCTGTGGTGTAGCCGAGAAGAATCTGAGTGTGCAGCGCACAGGCAGTGTTCGTGTGCTTTTGCGTTAGAGATTACGAAGAAAGCGCATATTTCCATAGAAAGTTTGTTTCTGCTCTGTTACGTTAATGTTTGTGCCAACTCCTGCCTCTTGGACTCTGAGGACGTGCAGACCTCAGCATTCTGTTCTTCTGTTTCACTCTGCTCTTTGAAACAATAGCTTGTGTTTGAATATTTTATAAACGTACCCGCTGTTTACTGTTTCCTCACTTCTTAGCCGTGCTTGGCTACAAGCTGTACATTCCGGGGAAGTTAGGGGAGCCCTGGCGGTGCGCAGGGCTCGGGCCGTGGCTTTTCGAGAAGCGTCTCTCTCGGCAGGGGTTTTGATTGTGTCCTAATCTAGTTTTCAGTGTCTGGGGCTCCCTGCGTGGACCCGTCCTCCCCACTGCCCCATCCTTCTGTTAGCTGTCTCTCCCTGTTCGCGCGCTTTTGTCCTTGAAGCCTGTGCCAGGCTCATCACTAGGAGTTCGTGGTGGTAACAGCCGACGTGGAACAGCTGACACGTTCGTGTGTTGTCGCTCAGCGTCCACGTCCCAGGAGTATCTGCAGTTGGCAGCAGCTCACCAGATTGAAGTGACGCCTTTAGAATTAGCCAGGTGTTGATTGCTGGCTACCTTCTAGCTTCTACTTTGTAAGTACAAAAGGGACAGACTGATTTTTGCGGGCTTAGTTTTGGATAGTCGTGCTACTTGTGCTGCCACCCCCCTTATTAAAAGCATCTTGCCACAATACTGGAAGGTGAAGGCACATTGCAGGCTGGCGGCAGCAGCGAGAGGCGCCTGGGCCTGCGGGAGCTGGGGAGCCGCGCTGCCGGCCACAGATGCCTGGTTCTCTGCACAAACCACTGCCGCCAAGTGGGCCTGAGCGCGAGCCCCGTGCACCAAGCAGTTAGCGTGGCCACTTTGTGAAGCAGAAGCTGCTAGCTAATGCCGTACGCTGTACAAGCTTCTGTTCTCTTTATAAAAACAAAAATAAAGTTTAAAAATAAAAAAATATGAATGGCACGGCATTATTTTACAACTGAGATACAAGTACCAAGAACCACCCCTTTCCTGCCTTACTGATCCACTAGCCCAGGCTCTTCCTTCTGAGGCCAAGCAGCAGCGCCCACACCCTTTCTAACCTTTACTTTGATACAAGGTCTTGCTGAGTGGCCAGGCGGGCGTCAGGTTTGTGACCGTCTTGCCTCAGTCTCAGAGAGCGGGGACTGGGCCTGCTGCTGGGGCCAGCAGCGAGCATGCTTTCTATGCTGGTGTCGGTGGAGTGCTGGTGGGATTATGATGAAATAGGCCAGAGAAAAAGCTAGCAAAATCTGAAGAGTAGAAACCCTGTTAGTCGGGGCTGGGCAGATGGCTCAGTGGAATAAGCGCTTGCCTGGCAAGTGTAAGGGCCTGAGTTCACTCCCAGGTTCCGCAAAAAAAAAAAAAGAAAGAGAAACCCTGTTAGTCAGATTTTCTGCCTTAAAATCAGTAGGACCCTGTCATAGCTGAGTTAAGCAGAAAGTGGACATCATGCTTATAGGCTTTTGAGATGTAGGAGAGAGGAGATAGTTGCTGCCAGACTCTGCGGTGCGGACATTGCGTCAGGCAGAGACAGGTGTACACTTTGGTGATTTTAAAAGGCTAAAATGAGGTAAGAAACACCCAGCTTCGGAAGTCAGTAGAATAAATTAGTAATGAAAAAATTAAAACTAAGCGGTAAGATAAAGACAGCTAGTTCTTTGAACAAAACAACAGTGAAATCAACCAACTTCTGGCAAATTTGGTGAAGGAAAAAATCTTGAAAGAATCTACTAAGTGGGATTTTTAGGTTTTGTTATTTGGGTTTTGTAGTGCTGGTGAAGGAACCCAGGGTCTCACAAAGGGGAGGAGTGCGCAAGAGGCCTGGAGAAGCGTAGGGCAGGCCTAAAGGAGCATGGCGCCCGCTTCACTTTGAAGTTCTTACGTACATAGCAGAGAGCGTTTTCCCCAGGAGTGTAGGATAGTTTAGTATCAGAGATGTAGTGATGTAATTCTTTGTGTGATAAGCAAAATATACACATAGAGAAAAAAATTAAGTGACCTAACACAGTTGAGCTTTGACTTTTGTGGTAAAAATGCTTATACAAGAAATCAAAGTTGAGGAAAGACTGTAAGGAAGAACAGAAGCATCAGTTTCAACATGCACGTTAGATTCCGCTCAGGAGGGAGGAGGCCGCTGTGCAGACTCGCTTCTGCTACTCCGGATTTTGGAAGTCTCACCACAGGACTCTTTTCTTACGTACGATAAAGGCAGCACACACGTGCTCTGGGCGCCCTCAGTCAGGGACTCAGCTGCTGTTTGCAGATGCTGCGGTCGTCCTCTGAGAGAATGGGGAGCCCTGAAAGCGTACGAGGCTCTGAACACCTTTTCACAAGAGCCTCTTGTGAGCCGTGCCGCAGCGCAGTGCAGGCTGCGCCTCACTGAGCTCCAGAGTCGAGGGCGGCGCTGTGGCAGCCAGAGGCCCTCAGGGAGAGGGGACTTGCTGCTGCCCGTGGCACAGTCTGGGGGGTCTCTGTGCTTGCGTCTGTGTGCAGGCGTGTGTGTGTGTACTCTGCCTTCTAATTCATTTAGTGGGCATTCACAAGTCATTGCATTGCGGGGGGGGGGGGGGGACAGTTGGGCTAAGACTTGTGAAAGTCCTTAGGTCTTTGGAATACATTCAAACTGTAGGCCTGAATTAAATAGGGTGGCTAATGGGATAAGTATTTCTAAAATGACAGATATTAGGCCCTTAAGTCACAGAGAAAGCAAAAGGCAAAGATGAAAATCTCCACTTGTGAAGATAAAATTTTCCTTTTGACAAAAAGACTAGAAAATTTGAAGCATGACACCCAATAATATATCTAGAATAAATTATTCTTTAAAAAACAACCAACCAAAAAACTTAGTAGGTAAATGAGCAAAGGAAAATGAGCAACTCAAAAGTGAAGCAAATAAGAAGTAGCCAGTAAGCATCTGAGAATACCAGAGACCAGAGGTAATATCTTACACCAGAACAACACAGAGGCTGTTGCTCAAGAGATTAGAAATTGTAAATATTAATTGTCAGGAAACAGATTGGAATCAATCTGAATATTTGTCACTTTATCATCAGGTAGCTAAAGAAGCTCTCAGAATCATACCATGGAATATGTCCAACTGGTAAAAAGAGGTGGTCCTTGTGTATTAGCATAGATGAGAAGCAACTAAAACGAGGGCAGTACGTATTGCAAATACACGCCGGCACCACTTAGGTTCGTTTGCTTAAAGAAAACAGAAGCCACCTTCAGCTTCGTGCAGGTACGTGTGTGTAAAAGCGGAGTCCAAAACAGTAAACTCTCTCGCCTTGCCTATGGCTGAGGGATTCTCATGTTTAGTCTCTGTCAGAACAGTACTTACTTATGTGATTTCAGTCACCTATTTTGAAGTCTGTTCTTTGTTATAATAATTAACTAAATGGGAGAAGACAAGATAAATGGAAAATGCCTGAACTACATACAAATAAAAAGTGTGCAAATTCTGTAACACTTACATAGAAAATTATAAAACTTAGGGAAGGCTCATTGGTGAAGAATCTGAGTAAGTGGAAAAAAGACTCCACATTCTTGTGTGGGAAGACGGTATTCCAAGTTGTTGTTCTCAGGATTAATAAATTATAGTTTATTAGCTGTACTAAATGGTGTCATGGTGTGTTTGGGGGAGCAAGAAGCAGTGAGGACTTTTGCAGAGGGTGGGGGCAGATGTTCCCAGCACCCGCGTTAGGACACAGCAGGAAACTGATGTCAGAGGGTGGTTGTGGCATGGGATAGACAGATACAGGCCAGCATAGGCTTAGGTCAGTTTTTGTGAATCCTGAGACACATTTTTTTTTTTCCAAATTTTAGCATCTTGGCAGCAGGATGTACTTTTCAAGTAGGATGAGCTCTCAGCCCTGCTGTCGGTCCACAGCTGTATGTTATAAATACATGATGGAGTCCTGCCTTAGATACTTTCTTGTCACTGGAACAAAAATACCCATCACCAGAAGTTAGAGGAGGAAAGGTATACTGAGCTCAGTCTGTACTCAGCTGGCTCTGGGTAGGTTGGCATGGCAGAGGCGAGCCGCTAAGGTCGGGGCAGCCAGGACACAGCGGGCCTGCCCCCTTTCCTTTCTCATTCCTTCCAGGCCACAGGCCTGTTGGTTGGTGTTGTCCACACCCAAGGTGAGCCTTCCCTTCCTTCTGCGTCCGCCAGCCACACTGAACTGTACTGAGCCAATTAGTGGACTGCTCAGTGGTCTAGCCCTGTCCCCAAGCCTCACCTGTGATCTCATGGGGCTTTGGGGACATCCAGATACCAGCCGTAATCGGTGTCTTAAAATCTGTGGCACCCTAGTTTCAGTGAATTCAAGTACATGTGTGTATGCGTGCATACACATGGGCGTAATGTCAGATGTGTGTATATGTGTGTGTGTGTATATGCATGTGAAGTTAAATGTGTACCTATGTGCACAGGTACACCATGTGTGCTAAGGCTTAATCCCAGCGTCTGCCCGAGCTTACCTGTACAGCCTTGTCCACAACCATATTGCTGATCTCTTGCTGTTTTCTGACTAACCGTTGTAACAGTACAGTCAAAATCCATGCTCAGTAAAGATATAAAAACTAGAAAATGTGTGGACCTTCACGAAGTCTGTGAAAAGGATGCGGGACAAATGCGTTGGTCATTTGTAAGCCGCTGGCAAGCAATACGATTGTGTCTTTGCATCTAAATGCTCATCAGGACTTGTTGCGCTGTTTGTTATGCTGTTCATTTAAGTGTGTGCAGTTAACGTGCCCGTGTCTGCCCGAGCTGGTTACCCTCAGAGAAAAGACATGCCCCGCATATGCCTCAGGCAGGATCTCGGAGAAAAACACGTCATTGGACAAGGGCCCTGTTACTGGACAGAGTAATGGCTGGCTTTCTGCTTCATAAAAATGAATTCCAGATCAATTATATATCTGAAGATGAAGATAAGTAAAAATTCTAGAAGAAAGTCATTGGAGAGAAGCCAAGTCCTTTTAAAGCCTGCCTTCTGTTGGGGCCAGGGCTGTTTCATAGAGGGAAGGGAACTGTGCTGCTCCAGGACTGGTGGCCCTTGGAGTGTCATGGGAAGAGGGGTCCCAGGGAACCTGGCTGGGACCCATGATGCAAGTGGTTGAGATGAAGCAACAGATTCAACCATAACTTCTCAACCTTCAGAAATGCCACAGAGTAGCAGGCGTGTGACACACGGAGAAAATAGTTCACAGCACGTGTGAGGCTTGCAGATGCAGTTCTTGTCTTGATGTACAGGGTGGTGACTGCAGACCTGCGGGCAGAGGCCGTGGGGCCTGCGCCCGGCTTCCTTGTGCAGTTGCCCTTCTCTCAGGTTACTCTGCAGCTCTTCCCAGGAATGGCCATCTGCATTTCTGAGGGGATTACGCGGAG